CGACTTCAAAACTGCACCGGAAATCGATTTTCGACATCTACTCGTCAACCCCGTTCCGTAGAAACTCATTTGGTAGGGTATTCAAGGCATTTTCACTAACAGGAAGTCGCCATATTGAATTTAGATCCGCCATCTTGGATCTCAAAATTTCACTGGATGTCGATTTTAAGCATCTACTCGTCAATCCCGTTCCGTAGATACCCATATTTAAGGGTCTTCAAGGCATTTAAATAAGGTATTTTCATAAAGCAGAAGTCACCATCTTGGATTATGGCGGAGCTAAATTTCACCGGATATTGATTTTAAGCATCTACTTGTTCCCGTTCCGTAGATAGGCATATTGTAGTGTCTTCGAGGCATTTTAACATACCGGATATCGATTTTCATAGACCAGAAGTCACCAGCTTGGATCTCAGTTCACCATATTGGATCTCAAAATTGCACCGGGTATCGATTTTTGACATCTACTCGGCAAGCCCGTTCCGTAGATACCCATATTGTAGGGTCTTCGAGGCATTTTCATAAACCGGAAGTCACCGTATTGGATTGTGCATCGCGATCTTGAATCTCAAAAAATGTTTCGGATATCCATTTATGACATCTACTACCCATACCCATACTGAAGGATGTCCAAATCATGTTAGCATACCGGAAGTCACCATCTCGGAGTTCTGTTCGCCATATTGGTTCTCAAAATTGCACCCGATATTGATTTTTGAATTCCACTCGTCAAGACCGTTCCGTAGGTACCCAAATTGTAGGGTCTTCGAGGCATTTTAGCATACCGGAAGTCGCCACCGTGGATTTCGGTTCGCCATCTTTGAAGAAATTCTCCATATTGGATTCAAAAGCGTCCATGGCCCTTCCCATGCCTTTTTTAACTTGTTCGTTTATTCATTAGGCTCAGTCGTGTGTGACACTTTGTGGAGCCAAAAATCAGTAATGTTTGAATATACATTTTAAACAGCAGTAGTTCTAGGTTAGTATTGGGTACCAATTACTCATGGCGGGCTCGAGGTTAATGGGTAACAATTTCGATTGGAAGGAGCTAGATAGGAAACTGGTTTCTGAAGCCTCCTTCAGATGCTACTCTCGGACGGTTGACCAAATCCTGGCTGGGCAGGGGCCAGTAGCACAGAAATAGGAGGATATTAGGACTGGGAAACAATGGCTGGAAGTTGTTTGGAAAGGAGGGGATGGTGACATCAGACTCTAATATCAGACAAGATCAACCTGCCTCGTGTAGGGAAGATCACGGGTTCCCAATACATCTCTTACTTCACGGAAGGGTTGTCTACCTCGAGCCACTAGGGTATCTAACAGTCGTGCTCTGGAGGCGTCATAACCCGGGCAATACCAAACTGCGTGATCTATGTCATCATAACCGGTTCTACACCTACATATATTGCTGTCAACGAGGAATATTCTGTAGAGATGTGCGTCTAGCGAGTAGTGGTTGGACATAAGTCTTGACATCACGCGAATGATTCCCCGACTTACATCCAGACCTTTAAACCACGCCATGCCTTTTATCGAAGACAACATATCAAGAAGACTGGCAACTCTTCATTTTCCGATACAACCAGTATGAGATAAGCACAATCGCGTCATCTGCCGCTCAAAGGTAAATGCTCCTATTGAATTGGATAGCAAAGGTTCCATCCTCAGAAGAAAGGTTTGTGAATTTGCTCTTTTTTATAAGCGTTGCTTCCACCTTCGCTCGAGCGCAGCGCTACTGTGTCTGTCGCTTGGATTCAAGCAAAGTTGCCAGTCTTCTTGATATGTTGTCTTCGCTTTTATATATAGTTAACGTTGACGTTGAATCATCGCTGATCGTGTTTCGACTGTGATTCTCACGGATTTGAACAGGAATTCCAATCGACATGAAGTGGGATTCTAATGGATACTGACAGAGAATCAGACGGATTCCCTCAGAGATTTTATCGATTCCAATCGATCCTGACTAGAAATCCAACGGATCGTGACAATAATTCCATATAAAGGTAAAGACTTCCATCTTGATGGCATTTAAACGGATCTTGACTGGAGCTATGAAACCAGTCAAGAATTTTTACTGATCTCGATAGGATTCCAACGGATCTGATAATCAAATCCAGTTGGATTTTGACAGGGATAAATGCTTTCGATGCAGTTCTAAAGGGAGAAGAATATCGTCGGGTTCCAATCAACTTCTACGGATCCCATTCGAGATTCTCAGAATCCCAGTATGATTGGAATCTAAAGAAGTTTGATATACTCTCTCTGAGATCACGTAATTTCATGAGTGTGCAGCCGCTTTTCTCGAAAACTGTGCGTGTAACATACAATTTGAGGTAATTTTTTGATTTAGCAAGGCAAAATTTTACCAAACGTACGGCTAATGGTCGAAGGGCGTAACAACACTGTCGATCAGTGATGCCATTTTTACGAAAAATTTCGTAGATTTATTTAAGAAATTGCTCAAATTCTAAGGATTAATGGAATTTGATTTGTTCTAACTTCGTTTTTGTTCATCTTCGCCTTTCCAGAACCATTTTTACCTGGTTGTCGTCCGAGATTCTTAAGACGTGTCCACGCCACTACCTTATTGCCTGATTTTTTGTTAAATCATCACAGTTCCACCAACAATCAATACGAAACTAACGATTTTAAATTGGCTCACCACTTTAGTAGCCTATTGGTCCCAAGCAAACGGTTAACGTACCCTATTCTAGTTGAAATTCTATTACTACACTATGTTTGTTTTGATTCGCTATGAAAGTTTGACAGATAACATCAGGGGTGTGTGGATTCATGCAGAACATGCAGGGGTGAGTGAAATAGCTTAGGACTGCTTGGGACCGTTGTTCTGGTACTGAGTGAGCCAAAAATAATAATGATTTTCTTCGGGACCCAGTGGTCTTAGAGTTACCTCTATGGTTCCACGATAGTTCAAATGTTCACCACGAAGGGTAATTTTTCATCGTGAATAAGCTTACATTCGGAAGATTTCGGATAAGTTCAGTATCAAAAGATCTCAAGGACAAATCCAATGGACCAAACGACCTGTCAAAGTCGGAACCAATCGAGTAACTTCTATCTTGTTTTAATGGCACCTCTGCTCGCCGTGCCAAGGCAGTTTGTTTTGAACTCGTTGCTCTCTTAAGCTGGGTTTAGACAGGGCAAGTCAATTGATCAAGTCAGTTGAATTCAACTGACTTGAACGCGAATTGAACGTGTAAACCATGCCATTCAACCAACAATCAATACGAAACTAACGATTTTAAATTGGCTCACCACTTTAGTAGCCTATTGGTCCTAAGCAAACGATTAACGTACCCTATTCTAGTTGAAATTCTATTACTACACTATGTTTGTTTTGATTCGCTATGAAAGTTTGACAGATAACATCAGGGGTGTGTGGATTCATGCAGAACATGCAGGGGTGAGTGAAATAGCTTAGGACTGCTTGGGACCGTTGTTCTGGTACTGAGTGAGCCAAAAATAATAATGATTTTCTTCGGGACCCAGTGGTCTTAGAGTTACCTCTATGATTCAACTGTCTTGATCAACTGACTTGAATTGAAAAAAGTTGAACCAGGTTCAACTTTTCAAGCCAATTGAAGTTGATCATTTGACTTGCCTAGTCTAAACCCAGCTTTATACTTATGACAGACATGATTATAGTACCGTTATACCTATCGGTGGAAACTAACGATTTTAGATTGGCTTGGTATAGTTAGCTCTATGGTTGTACCTGTACTCTTTTAATCTAGTATACGTCGATTGTAGTACTGGATTAAAGAAGTACAACCGTAGAGATAATTCTAAGACCAGGAGGTTCCGAAGAAACGTGCTCCAATTTTTGGCTCAGCTCTGGTACTATCTTCGGTTCCAAGCTAATCGATGCACCCCTCGAAACATAGAAAAATCCACGAACCCTTCATTTTATCTGTCAAACTTTCATAGCAAATCAAAACAAACATAGTTGTCGTGACCTGACCAAGGTTTCCAGCCTCAGCCATATGTCTGAATAAACAGCAAGCTGTTAATCAGGTACAACAGCTTCACAAATCAGTGATGCTGCTCCGCTTCCATTACTGATGCTGCTGATGTTGTTACTGCTGCTGCTTCTGCTGCTGCTACTGCTGCTGCTACTGCTGCTGCTGCTGATGTCCTTCGCTGCCAAAGTTAGTTACAAGAATGTCGTCAACGAGTTTAGTTTAAATGATCTTTATTTTAGTTTAACTTGGACGATTACCATATAAATTTTTACTAAGTGATTTAATTGCTTTCTTCATCTTTAGGTATGGGCAAAATTCAAAATTTGTTTTACAGAATTAGTCCTAGACTTAGTACACGGTCGACCACCTTGGTGGGATTGGTTTGATGTCGTCAACGAGCTTAGATAGCTCATATTTATACCCTCCGTATTTTCTCCTCGTTTATCCAGCACTGCTTGCTTTGCCAGTATTTCACCTCACATCTGTCATGCTTCACGTTAATTTAGTTCAACTCAAATGGAGTGTATCATTACTTGACACAACTCTCAAGTTTTTATATATTTATTTTAATATTATTATTTCACACCAACTATATCCACCACAATAGTGTAGTACTAGAATTTCGACCAGAATGGTATACGTTAATCGATTTGCTTGGGACCAATAGCATAGAGGTAACTCTAAGACAAGTAGGTCCCGAAGAAACGTGCTCAACTTTTTGGCTCAGCACTGGTACTATCTTCGGTCCCAAGCTAGTCGAATCACCCCTCGAAACATAGGAAAATCCAATAACCCCTCATTTTATCTGTCAAACTTTCATAGCGAATCAAAACAAACATAGTGTGGTACTAGAATTTTGACTGGAATGGGGTACGTTAAACGATTTGCTTGGGACCAATAGGCTAGTCAAGTAGTGAGCCAATTTAAAATCGTTAGTTTCGTATTGATTGTTGGTACACCGCTCTGTCGAAGGTATTTCCATAGACACTCGCTAATTCCCTCTAGCCTACTACTTACCGATGCCCATTGTAGACGAAGCCCTGCAGCTGGCCGACAAAGTTCGGCATGGCGGCCGTCATCTGGATCTCCTCCTCGGCGTGGAACAGGCCGCCCAGGTGCAGCGATTTCACCTCCAGGGTGCTGTGCTTTCCGAGGATTGCTTCCGCTAGATTGTTGTGTTGGGTTTTGTTTTGTTTTGCGATTTGCATATGTGAAGGTGTGGTGAGGTGAGTTTAGTACACGTGTGACGACATTCGATAAAGGGAATGTTGGGGGGAATACGCGCGCAATAGTTTTGTTTTGGATAACCAATTCAGCGTCGATTCGGTTGACGTCGGCGTCGTCGATGAGGTTTGTGAAAATACACAATATGAAAGTGGAAGCACACGCACACAGACACACACACACACACATACACGCGAATGGAGAGAGAGAGAAAGAGATAAAAAAGGAAGAAAGAGATAAGAAGAAGAGAAAGAAGAGGACACATTCTAGTAAAAATGAACTGTTTCGTTTCTCCTCTCTGGTGTGGAGAGTTTGCTTTTTTTTTTGTACAGGTAAAGAAAAACTTGTATAATGCATATTATATGGGTTTCATTAGAAGGCAATCTTGAAAACTTGCTTGGGGGGGAAGGCTGTATTGTTGATTGTTGTTTGATTTGATTTTTGATCTTGGAAGGCGGTGGTGGTGGTGGTGGTGGTGGTTTTGGTGAAAAACTCCCGAAGGGTGGTGGAAAAGGTGTTGGAGGCTGGGGGGGAATGAGTGTGTGTGTGTGTACACAGGTGACGTTTGATGATCACCACGACAACAGACGCACAAAAAGCTTTTTGTTTTGCTTTGATACATGGAAATCGAAACGAAGAAAGAAGAAGTGCGGGCTTGGGCAGGGAATAAAAAAAAAACAATGACAGGAAGCGGATTTGTGGGGAAAGTGCGGGAAAAAGGAGGGAAAATCAAACAATATTCAGCCGAAAAAGCGGAAACTAATGTTTGCCTTGTGATTGCTTCGAAGGATGATTTCAATCGCCATATCATAACAATAATAATAAAATGGTGAAAATGGTGTCGACGGCTGCTTTTCTCTACAATAACAGTAGTTGGTTCAGACAAAACGGTGCACATTTCAAAATTAGAGTTTAAACGTGGTGGGTTATTGGGTTGTGAGTGTTGGTGCGAAATTCAGTGCGCTTTCAGTTAACGAGTGGTGGTGGTGGTGATGGTGGGGGGTTATGTGAACGTGGGGTGGTGAGGGCGGTGTATTAAGGTGGTGCATTTGCTTTCACAACTCAGAAACGGAACTGTGTGGGTAAGTCTGTGCGCAGAAACTGATAACAAACGGATACAATCATCGTCAATCGGTGAAAAAGCGAACAACGGGGACGGTCTTGCTGATGTTGGTGATGATGATGATGATCATTGTGGTTGCCATGGTACACGCTATTTCAAAACTACCCACATTTGGGTAGATCGTTCAAAACTGAGTCTACCCTAAAATGGGTGAACTATGTTGGGAATGATAAGTTGATAAATGAACAAAGTCGATCGGGTTCATGTCCATTTGTCAACTTGTTACCCATTTTTGGGTAGGTTCGATCTGGGTGGATTCTACCCAAATTTGGGTAGTTTTGAATTAGCATGTAGATCTAATCTCTAATATTAAAGACAATAAATTAAACAATAGGAACTGAGACAGTTGGTGCAAGAACGGCTGTCATGGTTGTGCAATGGGATAAGGGGGGTTCAGTGAGGAGGTTTTTGTTTGTTTTACAAACTGGAAGTTGGAAGGGGTCTTCTTAATTCTGTGGGTCATGTGACGTTCAGGAACTCCCATTGGCTTTCAAACAGATTTAATTCATATTGCACTGCATTGCACTGTTGATTTGTGGACTTTATCAAGAATGAATTTTCAAATAGTCGTATCTGCTTTTGTAAACAAAGATTCCATCGTCAATTTGTCGAAACTCTTAGCTGACCCACGCCAACTAACACCAAACTTTAGCCTACCTGATGTAAAGCACTCTATGAGGTATCTCTATAAGCCCTTATAAGGTAAGAGGGAGTCACTTGAAGTCACATGATTCGAAGAATTTTGGAGAAATGGCTGACTTTTTCACGGATACAATTAAATCTACTGGGTGGTCTTGAGAACAACTTCATGCCGAAAGAAAAATGTGATGTTCATCAGGCTCGATTCACAATACGAATCTATGACAAAAAGTCGCAAAACAAAAGGTTGAAAGACAAACGGTCGAAAGAACATGAGGTCGAAAGGACAAAAGGTTTCGACCTTTTGTTTTTCGACCTTTTGTTTTTCGACCTTTTGTCTCTTTCGACCGTTTGTTTTTCGACCTTTTGTGTTTCGACCTTTTGTCTTTCAACCTTTTGTCTTTCAACCTTTTGTCTTTCGACCTTTTGTCCTTTCGACTTTTTCTCTCTAAACCCACAAAACATGTGCTCGACAGCAGTAAGGTAATTTTGAGTTAGTTTCAACGACCGTCAAATGAAAGCTGTTTGATAGTAGATTACGAATATGACGGTTTTAATCTGACTGTCAACCTGATGTACAAAAAAGTAAAATTCCGACATGGAGCTTTTCTTGACCCGAAAAGAAGAAAGGTGAACGGGAGGAGGCGGTTCTACTAACTACTGTTTACTGTGTTAATTAAAACGAATAGCTCAGCCAGCGAAAAACAAAAACCCATAAACAGTTGACTTTTCGGACAAATATAGGCTCGCTTGCATTTGGCGAACAAAACTCAAAAAATCAAAAACTATGAGTTTCCATAAAACATAAAAGGACAACATCATCCGGCTCGTGTTTTTGGATGGGGTACCCTACCATGGTAAACAACACTATTAGTTATGGAATCGTGGTGATCGTGGAAGCATTGACAGGAGACATCAGAACAGAGACAGGGGTGTTTTAAGGGCAGGGGCAGGCGGGGTCTTGTTGTTTGCAAATTTTCAGTACATAGCAGTGGTGACAGTTCCAATTATTGATTGCTCTCGCTAGCGTTCGGGGTTAACATAAACAGTATAGTGGTGAAGTGGGGTGGTGACTTTTGAAATTTCAATTGTTATTTTTTTTCCGGTGAATGTGAAACTTGCTTTTTTGATTGGTTGGAAATAAACCGCATGCAGTTGGTTGTTTCGTTATTGGGGTAATATAATTTTGTGCATGCCAGAGTAAAGCCGCAGGCAATTCCGATATCGTAATGAAACGAAAATGAAACTTACGAAACGATATAGGTTAGAATGATAATCGTAGAAAAAAATGAAAAGTGACAGATGAAAACAAGATCCAATTCAATCGAATCGGTAGGTGGTAATCATAGCAAGCAAGGGAAAGTAGTTGAGGTACAAAAAGAAGAGGAAAATCATACCGATCAAATCGGAAAGAAACTGATGCATATTTCAAGGACAGAAGAGTAAACGGAAACTGAAGGGAACAAATTCAACTAACTAATAACGATTAATAATTAATACTTTTTTTTTGGTTTCAAATTGTGGTGCAAATAAACTAGCGCCCTGACGTTCGAGTTTGTTTTGGTTTAGCATTTCGTTACATCGAATTGAGGAAAAACTTTCGTTCCGATCTTAGTGCGCCAAACTGAGAGGAACCGCGAGCTATTTCGTTTCCGATCCAAACCGAAGGAAAAAAGTTGAGCCAAAAATGGTTTGGAATATCGGAGCAGTAGTGTGTTCTGGTTGGCACCGGGTATGCATTTTTTTTTATTCAGGCCGGAAGGGGTTGGAGTTGTCTGTTTATTGTTGTTTTGGTTGTTTTCCAATCCGAGACAGTTATTAATGCAATAAATTTCGCTTGGAAAACGCGCCGCCGTCCGTCGTCGGTGTTTGAGAGGGGTGTGTGGTTTTTGTGTGTGGGCTATTATATCATCAATATTGTATTTTATATTGCTTGGGATTGTGTGATTCAAGGTGTTGTGGAAATAGTACAGGAGGATAATCGGTAAGTGGGAAAGGAAAATATGATAGATGGTGGCGTTTGTGGAGGGTGTTTATGTGGTCCATATTTTTTTTTTGGAAAGATTCAATCGAATTTCAATTTGCAGGATGGTTTTAATATGATTGTTTTTATCGGGGTTTACCTCCGTCGATGGTGGATGAATGAATGGATGATGCGATGATATGGTAAATGGTAAATATATACATACATTGTAAAAAGAGAAATGATGTTTTGCATGCCTGAATGTAGACAATTGCGTTAGACTTGAAATGTTCCAAATTGGCATTATTTTTATTATGAAAACCCACGCACTATCAGATATCAGGCGGTCAAAAATCAAAAAATCGACTTTCACTAATCCTTATTTCGTTATTTTTGGTCGATAGTAAACATTTCAACTAAGAGAATCTGAAAGTTTCAAGCTTCTAGCAGTTTTAGTTTCTGAGATATCGGATGTCGAAGTAAAAAAAAAGTAAGAAAAGTACAAACTTTGCCACAAAAATACACTACTACTCAAATAAAATGTCATCCACTATTTATCATATAACTATCACATCATTATACATCGTTGGAAAGGTAATTTAATAAGCTTTCCGAAAATAAAATCCATTTGGAAATTTGATAGAAACAAAAAAAATTAAAAATTAAAATAGAAAAAAAAATTTGAAAATTAATGAAAATTTAACTTTACTGATCACAAACTTTCGAGTCTCGCACATTCCCAGGCTAATTATCAGCTCTGGATGAAGTTTTGAGTGTACTCTAACAAGTACTGAAGAGTTTGTCTGCCCCAACCTGCCCCATTGGAAATATAAGCGATTTGAAAATTTTCGGTTATTATGGGAGATTTCAAATTGTACAAGAGCCGGCTTGGAAACAAACTTTTTCAACAATTATTTTGCAACTTTTGGAATTATATTATTTGGAGTTATATTCGGTTGGTATAGTCGAAATATATTGTTAAAGAACATTTTCTAATATTTCATGACCAACTTTCAAAAAGGGCTTAAGCTTTTGTACAAAAAGAAGTCATCATTATCATAAAGTTCACTGCTGGATGAACGTAAAACTACATTAGTTTATGCTTTATTCTAAAGTAAGTACCTGGGTTATGACGATTATAGAAGCATATGCGTAAGTATGTACCTACGCATATGCGCAGATGAGTATAATTTATACCTAAGTATGTACTTAACCT